TAAAGAAAAGCACAAAAAGGAAAAACAAAACAAACAAACAATCAAAAGAAACAATAACATCACTTCCCAGTTTGTTTCTGTGGTTGAAGAATGCAATTTACAAACGTGAATGAGGTTAAGATTGCTCCCCTGTGTTCTAAAATATGTGAGTGCAGTTGATTAGCAATACAAAGGGTTAAATACTGTGTCCCATACATTTGAGAGTTTAAGCCAATATTAATTATTTCTTTTATTATAAGTTTAATTATACTTCATTAAATACACGAGTTAATAATTATTTGAATATTTCTAGGTTGTTATTATCTAGTATATAAAATATGGCTTGTACAGCAGGGCAGCCATAGAAGAATTGATGTTAATAAATGGATATTTTGTGTTTTGTTTTTTTTTGTCTTCCATTTTCCAAATTTAAATGTGATAATGTTTCTGCTTCTAAGACTTCAAACAGTATTATGGCTAGGATATTCTTCCTATTTTCCATCCTTTCAATATTCTATGAAGAATTTGAGTTTTAACAGCTAAAAGGTATCCACTCTATTCATATACAGTTGCATTTCTCCAAAGAAGACTTTAAAAGGAGTCTGTTTTTTTTGTTTTGTTTTTTCCAGCATAATGCCTCATTGTAAAGGCTAAAAGTTAAAGTGTAGGTCCCTTACATAAAAGGGACACACGTGGGCTGTGGGCATTCAAGACAAACAGTTACATGAAATAGAAGCTTTGCATTCTGTGTGCTACAGCCCCAGCCTGAATCAGACAGTCCTACTTACAGCCTATATGCCTTAGAATAACTGGTGTGTCTTGCACTCTTTAGCAATGTACTTATTTCAGATCAAAATATGCAGCGGTATTAAAATCAGGCAAAAGGAGAGGAAATAGTGGCGTCTTGGATGAGAGAGGGAAAGGATAGCTTTAGGGTAATTGTTCTGTGGAGTGTGAAATTGCAGCCTGTGGTGTTCCGTATTGTACCAGAAGCTTTAAAAAAATCATCATTCTAGAGGGTCCACAATTGTGTGTTTTGGTTTAGCAAGGAATGGGTCCTTAAATCTTTTTTTGGAGACAAAATGATATAGTGAAAAAAAATAAATATATATATATATAATTTATATCTAATCTTTATATATAATCTTAGATTTCAGTGAATCTGGGGTAATGATATATAGTTGCTGTTTTTAAAAAAAAAAAACTATGATGACATATGACATATAGCTATTTATTCTGCTTTACATATAGATATTTATTCGGTTTTACATATATTTATTTTTTACATCTATTATGAATATAGATTTAAAAAGAAAATGGATATGCATTATGTAGATATTTACTACCATATATTGAGATCTACTTTTGGATTACAGTATAATGCCTTTTAACTGCACTGTCCTAGAGATTTCAAACTTTAGAATAATTGGTATTGGGATATACATACAAACAAACTTGCTCCTGTTGGTCCATATGCATTAAAAAGCGAAATAGACTATTTTTTTCTAATTATTTATTGCTATGTGATTTAAGGGCAAAACAGTCCCATTTAGGTTTATTTGAATAGCTAAGATGTGCACACGAAGTCTGGGCTACATTTTATATTAGAGGTGCAGGTGGGTAGGGGAATATTCCATATGGATACTTGTATTTTCAGAATAATTATGCCTGATGTCTGTTTACTTATTTAAATGAGAATTGGAGAGAGTGTGGTTCTAAATGAAACACAATAGAATGATTTATGTAATAAATTAAAGGGGGTAGACAATGTACAGCATCAAAGCAGAATTCTTGGAGAGATGTAACATTTTATTAAACAGACATATGTTTTTTTTCTCTGTGTATCTCATGAAGCTAATGTGAGCATCAGAATGATTAAGGCCAAAAAAAAGTTATATTCACTTTATCGCTATAGGAAGTTTCAAATCGATAATTATTTAGATCTTATTTTGTTAAAAAAAAAAAAATCTAAACTGATCATTTCTCCCTCCGCATCCCATTTTAAAGCAAGTGACAAAAAAAATAAACAACAATGTTTTGTTATGGTTTTTGTCCAGAGAACTTGTGGGTTTTTTTTTGTTTGTTTGTTTTTGTTTCAGCCTAAAGTAAAATGCAATATCTATCTAGCCAGGATTTTTATTGGAGTCAATAGATATAATGTATTGAACTGGTGTTGGAAGAGGAAGAGCTAATGAAGCACATCTTGAGATCAGTATCTTGTATAATATGGGAAAAAGTCACAAAAAAAGTTTATTTTTCTCTTAAATTTCCGCAGAGAGGAGGAGAGACCTTTTTGAAGTGTAAATGTTTAAAGGAGGGGGACAAGAAAGTCTTCAGCAAGAAAAAAGGTTAATTTAAAATCTGAGTCAGGGAACTAAGAAAAACCAATCAGCCTTGACCAAGGGGAAAAAAAATAAATAAATAAATAAAAACACAATTGTATTTTTAAAGAATGGGAATTAAAGAATTAATCATTTATGGGAATGTATATCCCATTTCTATTTCCAAAATGAGATAGATTGTGGCAGTTCTATAATATACTAATCTACAACAAAAAAAGAACCAGTTTTTATTATAAGTTATATTCAATGGACTGCAAATAGTGGTTAATTGACAACCGATTAGCAATATTAAGGCTCAGAATGTCCAGTTGGTTACAATAGCTACAGTATTTTTAGAACTTTCCTACTTTGCTCTGATTTTGCAAGTTGTTTTACAGGCAAACCTCGCCATTTAGTGAATATGTTCTGAACTGTTTCGTGAGAACTCAGCTTAACTTTGAACAGATCAGATAAACAAATATATCAAATGGGCATAAATTACTTTGGTTCCTCAGCTGGAGGTTTTTAAACTTAGTAAACTTACTATCAATGTTGTAAGTCATGAAAGGTTTAAAAGGGTGATTGGGAATAGTTTAAAAAGATCTAACAGACTAATGTCTGTAGATGTGTAAAAGCTGACACTTTTATCCAAACAAAGAGAGTGTGTACTTGTCATCCATCAAATTATTAAAACTTAACCCCCCCTACACTCCCCCAATCGAGATCACACTGTCCTTAGCACTAATAAATGAACTCATGTTGATAAATACATACAATATATATATATATATATATATATATATATATATAATTTTTATTTTACTTTTTTTCTCCACATAGAGACAGCGAGCAACACAGACAAACACACACACGTATACATGCCTAGATACATATATGCATATATGCCATCACACGCATTTTATGCATCATTTGAGAGAGTCAGCCTATCTATAATGAATGTGATTCTTTGCTTTACAAGAGGAGGATTGGGTTAAAAGGTGCATTCAAAACTTTCTCAACCTTAAAACTAAACCACATAGCGCCATCTACAGATAATCTTGATAAAACACCAGATAAGACTATACAGGTTTTCCCACACTATTCTTAACTCAAGCTGGCATTTAAACCACTTGTCAGCCACTTAAATCTATTTGCTGCAGAGTGAACAAGGCCAGGAATGATATGGACTATATCAATAAGGAGGGGGTACACATACATTGTAAACATCATACCCCATATGAGATACATGTGTATCTTTCTGAGTGTTCTAAGCACAGGCTGTTCAGCAAGGCTGAGCATTGGAAAGTTATTGTGGACAAGCA